CCTTTATCCATTTGATCATCCACATCGATAGAAAGTATTCCGAAATTAGGAAAAACAGGTCTTGTTTCAAACCGGGTGAGAATAGCCTACGGTCGCAAGTCTCACTCGGGGTGAGAGGTCGATCGTATAAATCTATTCTCACCCCGGATGAGAATAGCCACTTCCGTTAGTGTTAGTGTTAGAATCTAGATCTAGATCTAAATCTAGATTCTAGATATATATCTCTAGCTAGAATCTGGTTCTAGATCTAGATTCTAGACTAGTCTAGATTCTAGTCTAGACTAGATCTAGAAGTCTAGTAGGCCTACTTAATATAAGTTTGGAGAAGCCTAATTAAGTTTTTTCGCGTTTAATTCCAGGGGAAGGACTTCCGTAATGAGCGACCACTCTGAACTCTATGGAAATTTCAATGGCCATCAAAATCAGCCAAGTGACTAGATCTAGATGTATACCTACTACAAATGATGAAATTGCCGTGTTGGCCACCTGGGTGAGAATAGCGCAGGCGAGCCTTTTGGCTATTCTCACCCAGTGTGCTTTCACAGTAATAGTGATAGGCCGACTAGTGTAGCGTTCACCGTGAACAAACGTTCCAGCGCTCTTGTGTTGAAAGTGTGTAATTTTGTCTGTGGGCAGTGAGAGAGAAGGAGAGAGAGAGAGGAAAGGGGGAGGGGAGAGAGCGAGATGAGTAGCAGGAGAACTTCCGGGCAAAACAAAATGGTGACCCGCGTAGTTCGGCTCAATTCAAAAAGTTAAATTATAGCCGTAGCATCTTCGTAGACAACCAAATTAATTTACTTTTGTGTTTTTGTCAATGTGATCGTCCACACCAATAGACAGTATTCAGAAAGAAACAGAGAGAGAAGGGGTAGATCTTGCGAGAACTTCCGGGCAAAACAAAATGGTGACCAGGGTAGTTTGGCTCGATTCAAAAAGTGAAATAGCCATAGCATCTCTTGTAGATGACCAAATTAGCTTACTTCTTTGTTATTACGTCATTTTTTCTTTGTTTTTGTCAATTTGATCCACACGGATACACAGTAGCCTAGAAATTAGGACCTGAAAAACAGGTCTTGTTTCACACTGTTGAGAATAGCCAACGCTGGGAAGTCTCACCCGTGGTGAGAAGTCGATCGTATTTTTATTCTCACCCGGGGTGAGGATAGCCACTTCCTTTTTTATGCATTCCTAACTCCACCGTAAAGTTTTTGAATTCCAGTCGAGGATGCATAAAGTTTCGTCTAAATCTAGAACTAGGCGCGGCCGGAATTAAACGTGAGAAAGTAAGCAATTGCCAAGTTTGGTTCTGTGTTTTTCCTTTTTCTGAGATGATAATAAAAAAAAAATTAGATTCTCGATTGAGCTCTTTTATGGCTCGTTTTCGCAAAATTGTCCGGGAGGGCCCTAGTTTTCAGCCTTTTTCGTGATATATGCCATTCTCAGCCCTGCTTATTGAGGCGTGGAGTCGGGCGTGATCGGCTTGCACAGTGTCTATTCAGTAGTAACTGGTCACTTCGTCACACGGTCACCTCGTCACACCCCAATTATGTGTGAGGAAATGACTTCCCTTATCTCTCGAAAATTGTATATAATATAAGCTCTTGAAGCCCACCCCAATTGCATTTTCCATAAGGAATGCTGAAATTTTCGACTTAAAAAGGTCAGAGCTTTATGCCCTTTATATATCCTAGGGCCTGTGTGCTTCCCGATCGAAGTAGGTAGGCCCTTTTATATAAATTGAATATATTTAAACGTATAACGACGCACCTGCTTAATTGGCAGCTAGTTTTAGTAATGTGATGTCATCTGTGGGATACCCACAGAATAATTTTAGAAGGCCGTGGAGATACCAAAGATCATGTAGGAGAGAATCTTTGGGGATACCGCATGGAACAACATGTTGGGTCAGTGGCTTCACGTTTTTTAATTTTTTTTTTGGTAAGTGTGTTTTACGGCGCTTGCAACTGCGTAAGGTCATATGAGCGCGCGGGACGCACCTAATATTTTCAGTTGGTAGGAAATTTTGAATTTTGCCCGCGTGGCGGCTGAAGCCTACTGTTATCGATTTTAGACCACCAAGGGATCTTTAATGTGCGCAACGTGCACACAGGCCCTCCGAGATTTTTCGCCCTTATCCGAGAAGGCTAGGTGTAGATCTTTCCTACCAGAAGATCAGGGGTGTGGCAGAAAGACAGCAGTAAGGAGGAGCCAAGGAGTAGCAGTAGAAAGGATGCAGAAAGAGTCAGGAGCCCAGAGGAGAGGGCAAAGGAGGTGAAGAGGTGGGGACAGAAAGTGGAAATGAAAGCAGACAACAGAACATTGCTAGAGAGCAGGAAAGGAGGTGAAAGAAGACTATTTTAGAGGAGAAAATTTTTCAGTCGCTACCCGGATTTGAACCCAGGACCTTTGAATGAGAGGCCAACACCTTAACCTCTAGGCCACGAGAACCCCCGGCTTCACGTATTATCCATATCGATGTGTTTCGCACGGGTAAAATTTCACACTTGCTGCTAACTGCAGCCTGTCAGACATGCTCTACTGATTGATTACATGGTTTCCGGTATGTTAATAACATTTCGGAATTCCGGTAGTGATGCTTGAAATTGAAACTCATTGAACGCAAAGACAATAAAACGCTTGAAAATTACCGTAAAGACGCCGGAAGATTACCCCCCCACTCCCCACCCGAGCGATAAACAATGCGCAGAAGAGATTAATAAGCAGCAGCATCGTCGGAGCACCGCATCATATCACATCACTGGTATTCCTGGAAAAACATCGCACCAAAACGTCGTGCCATCAAAAATTCTCTACATACAATCTTTGGTGCAATGCGGTTGGCTATATATAGATGCAGTCATGTGTTCGGAGGTTTATCCCTGTCTGGCGTCACACAAGATAGCCGCCTTACCTAAAAATAATTTGCATCCTTCTACGTTTAGTCGCATGTGGGCTGTGCACATCCCGGGTAACACTGCTCACGCCCTAAATGTGGGGGTATCTTTCATTAACTCGTGCCGGTCTAAATGGGGCCATGCGGCCCCAGGGCATTTTTATTTCAAGTGAAAAATCAACATTCTGCAACGTGGATAGGCCTACACCTTAGTTACAATGACTTTGTCTAAAATTCATATTTACATCAGTATGCCAAAAGATGAGAATCTAAATGGATGCCAGCTATTTTATGCTGGGGTTGAAGGAGTGTCACATTTCCAGACACCAATTCTTCCACAGCCGTTGTGGGGACGAGCAGCCCGTGGACAAAACCTATTGTAAAATTTTGCAGCCAGTGTGGGGCCGAGTGGATCCGTAGACAAGATCTACTGTCTAAATCCTGTTACAAGTCCGATTTCATGTCATTTCTATGCATTTTTGCCTCCTGATGTAAGAAATTTAACTTAAAACTTAAGCAAATGTGTGGTTTTTGAGATATTAAAAGGTTTGAACACTGCACTATTTGCATTGTAATGCAAGCTGATTGTTTACATTTTCCTTCCTTAATAATACAGTGCATGCGCCCCCCCAAAAAAGTTGCGTTAAAAAGGGGGTGCAGGGGGTCTCCCAGCTTCTAATTTCGTTAAATGCGACAGATTTTGATATCGAAATCCTTCTCAGAATTCTAAAAAACAGTGATTTAATTATAGTGCTGAAAATTATTCTAAAATGGGGTTGGATTTTTTCTATTAATTTATCTTTTTTTTTAAGGTCTAGTACTCGGTACTAGATATCTAGAAGTAGAGTTGGCCTTTTCTTTTACTTTCACTGCGTCTCAAGCTCAAGATTTAAGAGAGCCCTTTTCTCTATATTGTGTACATTTTTATCCGTTACATTTCACATCATGAATAATCACAATATTGACTTTAATAATTAAGCCTATAATATTCGTTAAACCCTGGAGTTAAAAAAGAATCTGGTGGGGGTACCCCTCTTGTTTTTTCCCATAATTAGATTTAAAAAAACACAATAATTAATTAATAAGGTTTGAAATTTTCTTGAAAATAATTGATCTGTGACAAGTTTTAGTGGCCATATGTGATCTGCAGCAAAAATTTCAGCAGTTTGACCCCCAAAGCAATGCATCTGTGTGCAGGAGGGAAAATAAAAATTTAACGAGTTGGATAAGTGTAAAATGTTCAATGATTGTTATTGATTTATTCAGTGCAGTGTAATAGATTTTAAGTGTATTTTTGTCACAAGGCAGTGGAATCAGGCGCCCGTCAATTTTTAGACATATGGTGTTATTGTTGTCATTTTAAAGCTTTTCATTTGTCTTTTTAGGGGGGAAAATACTAGTCTATCATGAGTGAGTAGAAAACGAGATATTTATTGCGATTCAAGAAGGTGGGGGTTGCTTGGTTTCAGAGGTAAAAATTAACGAGAAAATGGCCACCGAAGTTTGGCGACTTCCAAAGCTTGAGAGTCCTTCGAAACTGCAAATTTACGCTTTCTGCCTTAAATCAATGTTTTTCAGTTAAATCCACACAAATGTGTTTTAAATGAACGGTAAAGGTTTTTCAAGTAAAAAAAAAAAAATTTAAATTCGATATATTGCTTTGCGGACAGAAAAATGCCAATTTCTTTTATGTCATTATTTTTACGAGCGCCTGATTTCACCACGATATCTCACTTTTGTTATGTTTTTCTCCCTAGAATGACAAAAAAGATGGCGGTATGGATAGTCTTGACTTTCAAGGTAAGAAGGGACATTTAAAAATCTTTTTTAAAGTTAATTATAATGTTGAGCTCTGTTTGTAATTTTTCTTTAGAGTTTAATTTTAAAGTTGAAATTTGATGAATGTATGTCTTGCCTGCTTGGACTGGGAGCATGCAGGTGATGACCGAAATAAGACTGTGTACAAGGATCCTTACTTTGTTTGCAAACAGCACTGGCAACATTGCTTCTTCATTACCTATTAATTGTCCTGATTTTTGGTGAAAGACTTACACTGGTTCTGCAGTTTGTAGAGTATCTAGAGGTATAAAGTAAGGGGTGGCAAAGTCCCATCTCTGTGCATCACACATGAAAATAACATGAAATGTCCCAAAGAAGAATATTTAAATATAGAGTAGTCCAAGACCCTGTTTTTTATAATTTAAAAAGTGTCCCAAAAATCCCACCACCATCGACCCTGGTTTGCCACTAATGACTGGTTTGCAAGCTCATTGTTTCTAAGATGTTTCTTTTTGATGCAAATTAACCTTAGAAGAGAGGAAAACAATTATACCGAGAGAGAAATGCTCCAAATTGCAGGTTCATGTGTGTATGTTGTTCTTGGTCCTCATCTGTTCTCCTTTCTCCTATCTGTCCACACAGCAGCTGTTTTTCTAGTCCGTTTGATCTATTTACATGGTCAAAGCATCTCACATGTCCTTTTCTGATGATTCTGATTATAGATCTCTCTAACTGAAGAGACCCCCAAGGGGAAAGTTGACTAATCTAAGAGTACTAATACTAATCATACTTACATGCTGTGTTGTTTTCGATGTTTGTTTGGAAGTAAAGTATGGCATTTTCATGGGCCGGTGACCCAGGCCACTTGGCAAAGCAGGACAAGCTGACTGGCCAATGCCATAGGAGACAAGAGGTTATTTATATATGAAAAATTGTTAACACACAAGAAAAGAGTCCCTATGGCACAAACATGAGCATTTTGAACATGCGTTAGTTTATGACAAGGATGGCAAATATTTTGAAGTATGTCAGAGGGGACGAAAAATACATACATGATGTGCTTTTTTGTTTTTATATATGGTGAAGTGCATCAATCTTTATTTCGTATTTCAGATATTGCCCACGACAAAGCAGATGTAGAGAAAGGCGCCACTCATGAGTTCACCAATTTCCCCCACTCTGCAGCAGACTCTGACGATGATGCAGATGATAAAGAGCAGGTCAGCACTCTCTCTCTTTCTTTGTTGGAATTAATAGAGTATGTTACTTTAAGTTTTTGGCATAAATTTGGAGAAAATCTAGTCTACTGTGAAATGTAATAATGGTGAAATGAGGTGCACATTCTGGATAGATAAAGGCAACAACAAAACTGGATCGATAACAACATGTACACATTCTCTTCTCGTTATTAAGGTCAAAGATAAAAATTGATTTTGGAAAGGCTGCCATGAAATAATATACAATGATTTTGCGCGTGTTGAACGATTACTATATATATCAATTAGTATAAGTATTGAATTGTACTTGGGTGGACAATTTACCCTGTGTAGAGGCTCATCTCTTTTGCTGTGTCGACCAGGATACTTAATGTTTTGGCAGATTATTTCAAAATGAGCAAAGTTCATGTCAGATAATAGCATGTTTGTGTGTGCCTGGTGTAAGGTACTGTGTGATGTATGACTCTGTTTTTGCAGATTTACTTGCTTCTCGGATGGTTCTACTGGACATGTGGCATGCAGTCTTTTATTTTGTGACTGTAGCTTGTTATTTGTTTCTTGAACTGTTTGCTAATGTGTCAAAAGTGTTTTTGTATTTACAACCCTCTTTGATTGCTCCTTTTCTCTCTTTCTCTCTCTCTCTCTCTCTCTCTTCTCTCTCTCTCTCTCTCTCTCTCTCTCTCTCTTCTCTCTCTCTCTCTCTCTCTCTCTCTCTCTCTCTCTCTCTCTCTCTCTCTCTCTCTCTCTCTCTCTCTCTCTCTATATATATATATATATATATATATATATATATATATATATATGTGTAGTATGGTGGTTATGTCAGGAGCTTGTCGAACTAGTGACAAGGTAGAAACCGATGTCTATCCACTTATTTGGCAATTTTTATCAAAAAATTTTTGTGTCAACACTTGTTATGTCCATTTAGAAACTCAGTACTCTGTGGATGATATAGAAAAACATTGATCAAAGTCACAAGTAATGTAAATTTGCACTTTTCCAAGGACACTCAAGTTGAGTGACCAGACTTTGACGACCATTTTCTCGCTAATTTCACAACTGACACCAGGTGAACTCACGTTCTTCAAGTGCCAATATCTCAATTTCTATTCAAGATATATGGGTATTTTTTTTCTTCAAAATCAAAACAAATGGACAGGCTTTATGATGATACCAGTAACGTCATATGCCTAAAAATTGACCATCGGCTGATTCCCCCATGTCGTGGCAATTTATAGGTTATGACACATTACTTTCATAATGCATCGCCATCACAATCACTCTTTGTATTTTCTTTTACAGTTGCTAAAAGATGAGAAGAAGGCAGCATCTTTTTGGACATTTGCATACTACCAGCAATTTTTTGATGTGGAAACACATCAAGTTGGCAAGCGAATTCTCAGCTCCATGGTGCCTAGACCAGGAAAAAACTACCTTGTCAAACAAATTCGACCGAATCCAGATCTTTATGGTAATAGAGTAGTGTACATTCATGCATTCTTCTATATGTTTATGTATGCATACTTAAATCATATTTGAACTACCCCCCGGGGCAGTGCCACTGACTGTAGTGTCTTTAGGTCATTCCCAAAGGGGGGACATTTCTCGTTCAAGCATAGTAGAATTGTAAATGGGCTGAATCATGTCATGCTCTTAACTGTGCCTGTTCTACAACAGAGAACTGCTGCTTTTTCTTTCCAGATCCTTCCTATTGTCATTTTCCTCTACTTCTTTTGTATGTTTTTCACTCTCCTGTGACCTACTATTTCCGGGGTGCCTTGATAGTCGAAGCAGACCTTGTGCTTTTGAAGCTAGAGAGATGAGCAGTCTAAGTCTGATTCCCTGTAAAGACTTCTCTGTTGACACCCACCCCTTGGCGCTCATATGACCTTATGCAGTTACGAGCGGTGTAAAACCCTCTACTATTAAAAATATATTTGAACTGAATCAACAGAACCTTCAACATCGTTTATGTCAATGCAAATTGATGACTAAAACAAAACTTGTTTCATCCATGTGTTAGGCAGCGTTGTGAAATCAGACTCTCGTCAAAATAATGAAAGTCAAGAAACTAGCATTTTTCCGGAGGTTTGGGAATTTTTATCAAATTTTTATTTTTTGGCTCAACACCTTTCATGCCCATTAAAGAACACATTTCTTTGTGAATTTCATTGAAAAAAGGTTAATTAAAGTCATAAAAGATGTAAATTTTCAGTTTCCGAGGACTCTCGAGCTAAGGAAGCAACTCAAATTTGGCGGCCATTTTGTCGCTAATTTTACTTCTGAAACCAGGCGACCCACACCTCCTTCAATGGTCAATATCTTGACTTCTTTCCAAAATATATGGATGTTTTTTTTTCATCAAAAGCAAGACAAATGGACAGGTTTTGAGATGATACCAATAAATCCGTTTGACCCAAAATTGAGGAGCGCCTGATTCCACTGCATTGTGACACATATACAATTGCAAATGAAATACTGAGAAAATTCGTTTTATTGTTTTGTGAAATGCTGAACAATATATGGATCCATCTAACATTGTCTTCTTTGTTTGAGGAATTATTTTTGTGTTCTTTATGTTTTGGATTCCAATGGTCCTGCATTTACTGAACTTTAGCTGACAAAATCAAGCAACTTATTGTGAAAATTGGAGGGGAGGAGGGTGTATTAAGATGGAGGGAGTGGTGCATGTGATGCTGATCAATCGGTGCTGGTCAAGTGTGTTAACACTGTGTTTGTTACTTTGCTTTGGTCTAATTGCTTTATGTACAGCATGGTGAGAAAAAAGATGCAAATCTGTTGAGCGATGACTTTTTGAGATATATGAAAGGAAACACCAAACAATGTGAATGTTGAAGGGAAGATGCAATAGTATGCAATGGAACAGGTAAAGAAATGAAATATTACCGTTTGACCATGTCCAAGAAGACCACCATTGTTGAGCAGAAAAGTTATTGTCTTAGACAGGTGGTCTCCTTGGGCAGGTCAGCAGAAAGAGAAAGAAGAAATAAAAACCTTTCCTTACTGATGGCCCAACTGGATGTGTTTGAAGGTTAAGGACTGCCGTATTAAAAATTCTTTTTTTTTCTTCTTTTTTTTTGTTAAGAGAAGCACAAAAGGGAGATTTGGGGTTTTTGTATTTTTATTACTTATCGAAATGCGTTGGGCGGTGAGAGAAATGCAGTGTTTGGCCTGTTGGTTGACAAAATGTCATGGTCAGCTTGGACAGTGTCACTATATAGAAATAAGACGAGGGGGAAGTGGTGGTTTGCACAGGTGACCATCTAGAACAGGTGGTCAGTGGTAGCTAGAGCATGTTCAACTGTATTTTGAAATAACTTTTATAATAATACCTTTCAGTAATTTTAAGTGCTAAGTTTTGTAGAGGGTCTAAGACAGGTTTTCTGTGGAGTGCCTTTCTGTTGAGCAAAGAGGATTTAAAACTTAACACTTATAGTACCGTCGGCTACTTTAGCCACCAGGCCGTAGTATGCTTTCACTACTGTCTGCTGGTGACTTTTTTCACCGATGTAAACTGGCACACTAAACCTTATTAAACAACAAATGGACACACTGCACTGAAGTAAATACCAAAGGAAGTCACTCTTTATGATAGCTGAAGAGCTGATAAACCTCTCTGAATTTCCAAAGCATGTTTCTTGGGCTGCCAAGGTTTTTGTGATAAAAGATTCTACCACGGCTTCAGCATTCTAAACTGGTGCGGGACCCAAGGGTTTTTCACTATATGAGCCTTCGGTACTAAGTGTTAAGTGATAATTTTCTGTTTCTCATGTTCTGTTCTGCAACTGATGTGTTTCAGGGTTCCAAATAAGAATGATTTTTAAAATGAAAAGCAAACGTGCTCTGGAAATGGCAAAGACTGTAGAAACATTCAACATGAAGGTTTTTCTCCTGCTGTCACACTTACTGACTTCTGGTCTGTTCTTTTTTTTTTTTTAGGTCCCTTTTGGATATGCACCACGCTTGTGTTTACAACTGCCATAGCTGGGAATCTAGCCAACTATTTCAGTGCTGCGGGCAAGAGTTATCATTGGCAGTATGACTTTCATAAAGGTAAGTGTTTGAAATTACAAGTGTTGTTTTCTACTTGATTTCAAGTTGTATGCCAAATGTTAAAGTGTTATTGGAGTGTCACAACTACTATCTTTTGTCTTAGACTGTTCGTCTGTTTGTTTCTTATTCATTTTCTAACTATTTCGCTCTCTCTCTCTCTTCTCTCTTTCTGTCTCTCTTTCTGTCTCTCCCTCTCTCTCTCTCTCTCTCTCTCTCTCTCTCTCTCTCTCTCTCTCTCTCTCTTCTTTCATTCTATCTCTCATCAATTTACAATATGGGGCAAAACAGTCTATGGTATTGTCTCAATACTAATATGACTCTATCCATTTTCACAAGAATTTAGACAGAATGTACTACATTGTGTCACCTCTTTGTGGCTTGGTAAGGTGTACACTACAGCATGATTCAGGTGTATAAAGCATGGTGGCAGTATTTTCTTTGAATTTGTTTTGTGCATTGCATTTCATTGCATTTCAGCTGCGTTTTAAAAAATGAGACGGCTGTATACTAGTATACATCTATGAGTAAGTGGGACAAAAGACATGACATTTGGTGACTCAAATTGCGAATTCAACTGTTCGCCTAAAAGGAAAGGGGAAAAATACACAAAATGAAGAGTGTACGAAACCCCCCCCCCCAGTGTGCAGCATTTGAGAAATTTGTATTCTTTTGTTTGTCTTCTTACTCAGCTCTAAAGGGTGTGTCCTGACCACGAACTTGAAGAATCATAATATCCTAGACTTGGCACTGTTATGGTGGCTGCTCTTGTCTCTCTATAAAAACTTTGCTGCCCTATTGTGCTACATGTTTGAGCAAATTAAGAGCTATAGTTGAGCGTGTGCACAACCATTCCCTCCTTGCTCTTCATTTGGTTCCAGATAGCCGGATGGGGCCTCCATGGTCCACCAGAATTACATCAGAGTGCACAGTCTTGGCTATTATGATACACGTTTCTGGTCCTTGCTCATTTGGCTCGCCTTGGACATTTTGATATAGTATCTTGTTGTCTTAACTCTAAATCTCTGAGGGGTTAATCCCACAATGCTGGGGCCCTCTTTTGTACAAAATCTAAAATGGACATATATGTCACTAAACTGGTCATTGGGGGCTCTCGTGGCCTTAGAGGTTAAGGTGTTCGTCTCTCATTCAAAGGTCCCGGGTTCAAATCCGGGTAGCGACCAAACAATTTTTTTCTCTAAATTTGTCTCTTTTCACCTCCTTTCCTACTCTGTAGCAATGTTCTGTCATCTGCTTTCGTCTCCTCTTTCTGCCCCCCACCCCTTCACCTCCTTTGCCCCCTTCTTTGGGCTCCTGATTCTTTCTGCAGCCTTTCTACTGCTACTCATTGGCTTCTTCTTACTGCTGTCTTTCAGCCACACCCCTGATCTTCTGGTAGGACAGATCTACACCTAGCCTTCTCGGACAAGGGCGAAAAATCTTGGAGGTCCCGTGTGCAAATTGTGCACGTTTAAGATCCCTTGGTGGTCTAAAATCGATAAGAGTAGGCTTCGGCCGCCACCCGAGCAAAATTCAAAATTTCCTACCAACTGAAAAAGTTTAGTGTCTCCCGCGCGCTCATATGACCTTATGCAGTTGCGAGCGCCGTAAAACACTTACAAAAACAAACAACAAACTGGTCATTGCATCAAAACAAGTGAACTTATTTCGATAGTTCTTCATCTAATGAATGAACTCCCGGTTAAAGAGACTTGTTTTCGGCACTTGCCAAAAAGTAATTTGACGTCGAAGTTGTCTTAAAGGAATGGCTCACCGGCACTATGGTTCCTACTACGGACCGTTGGGAGCAGCTTGCCTGAGATAGGGAGTTAATTTCTTTTCGGATCCCTTTAGACTGCCATAGTCCACACTGATGATGTTGGCTCTTTTTCTTTTTCCCGGAGTTTATTTTCAGCTCATTTGTTATAATATTTTGCTAAGCAAAGGTACTTTTCCTTTTATTAAGGCAAAGCTCATTAGATGATTTTATTACTTTTATCATTTCTTTCCTGAAGATTCAAAGCTTACAATACAAAAATGTGGTCACCCGTGAGTATGTGTCAACATCCATCCATTTTCTATTGACTAACTGGATTGGAAACACTTGATTCCCAACCTTTTTCCAGACATAGTGTTGCAAAAGTCTGTGTGAGATTTTTAAAAACCCAACATTTTCTGACACCACACAGCAAGCAAAATGTAAAAAAAAATTTTTTTTTCTCTTCTCCAGTAACGTATGCTGCAACTGCAATCTTCAGCTATTGGTGGCTGGTCCCTCTGGCGTTGTTTGGTGTGCTCTGGTGGAGGTCGCGCCAGACAAACGAGTCAAAGTTCACCTTTCTTGAGATCATCTGCGTGTATGGCTACTCTCTGGCCATCTATGTCCCTATCTCTGTGAGTGCTACTTTGTTTTTATTGCAGATGTTTGTTATTACTGTCCCTGTGGTTTTATGCAAGTAAAATTGTGAAATTATGCAAACTGAGTCCAAAAATGTGAAATTATGCGATTCTGTTAATTTTATCAAAGAATGATAAAGGAAAATAATCAGAAATTATGCACAAAATGATCAAATTTTTTCTAAATTACGCCGCGTGCATAAAACCACAGGGACAGTTATTATTGAACTTTATTATGGCGTACGAAATTTTGCATTGTTTGTTAGCTTTCTTGGTATGATTTGGTTATTCAGAACAGGGGTGTAAGTGTACGTAGAAAACTCACTTGTGAACGCGCCTGAAGAAAGGTCCAAGTTGGTGGGTGGTTGGCGGGTGCTCTGGTGTGGTTTGCTTCTTCTCTCCTATCAAACATCTATCGTCCTTATCTCCCCTTCTTCTTTTTTATGTTTGTTACTCTCTTGTAACACCTCTAATCTTCTGGCGCTCATATGACCTTATGCAGTTGCGAGCGCCGTAAAATCTCTACTAAAACTAACTAACTAAAGGTCCCAGTTGTCGGCAAAGCTATTTTTGAGCAATGAGATGAAAAGGCCAAAAAGTCGTGCCAGATCAAAAATTTTGTTCTATCAGAAAACATGTGTTTAATCCTTTCTTAATAACATATTGAAAGGATTTTATAATATTTCTAGTCTAAATGTTTTTTTTATTAACAATTTTTGCAACATGTACTTCACCAAAAGTTATAAATGTGCTAGAAATTAGGTCAACAAACTAAGATTATTTTGATGACTTCTCGACACAAGTTTTCATTCAAACCCCATCTTGTTGTATGCCAAAATTTTCAGCATTATCTCCCCTACACATGAAACTGAGTGGGCCTTTCCTCAACGACAGCATTTGTTGCACGTCTAATGGCGAAGGAGCACTGGAATTTTAGTTGTCTCTGGGGGTTCACTGCCCAGCGCCTTATTTCATCGGGGTCCCGAGCTCCCTGTCACTGCTCTGGCTGGGCTGACTTAATTTTTGGCATTTTTGAACTCAAGAGTTTTAGATGTATTCTTTAATTAATAGTAATTATCATTTATAGCACCCAAAGAATGCATTTCTGCTTTTGAGATTAAAAAAAGAACGGACATTGTGACTTGTCCGATTATTTCTTTAGACGCGCTGAAGTTGGCAATGCTAAATTGTGAAATTTTTTGGATAGTGTGAATGAAAAAACAATATTTAAAGAATGGCTAAACAAAAATTGTCGAACTTTAGAACATGAACGACATAACGTTGATGGAGATTCTCAGAAAAGATCGTATCTGCATAGATAATAGCTGTATTTTTGCAACTTTATCCATCTGGCACACAAGTCGCTAAGTAGTAATTCCTTCACGTACAACCTTATCTGTCTAATACTGTGGTGAATATTTGCATATTTTCCTTGAAAATTTATAAATTTTACGCTGTGGTCTCTCTTTGAAGAAGCACGAATTGATTTTAGTGCCAGAATGCATCTACAACCCCAAAACATGAATAGTATCTGTTGCACTCCAGAACTTCCTTACTTTTCTTAAAATGCTAAGTCTAGGTTTTTGTAAGTTGACTGAAGAACAGGGGCAACTTGTAGGGTTTTCAGAATATTTTCTAGCTTTGCAGTGACACTGAATCAGCACCAGACTTTTCCAGCTTCTATTTTTGTTTTTATGACCATTTTCTAAGACTGACAACGTTTTTATTTCTTAAAATTCATAAGTGCCTGCGCATATGTCCGACACAAAAGCCTAGAATGAACATGTTAGTGTTAGCTGTCGTTGAATATATTTATCTCTTCCTATGTATTTACATAATTTTGTGTAAGAAAAAAAAAATGGCATATCTTTCTTAGTTGTATGTAGCCTTCCCCAGACACATCATATTTCATAAACAAACGCAGAGTACTTTTCTCGTGTGTATTTTATAGTTATGCAAGAGCCAATGCTGTGTGTATTTTGTCCATAAAATGGAGATGTGCGTCTTTTTTCTCTTATTACTTGACTGTTACTACCTGCGCAGATTGAAAATTTCTCATGGTAAAAAACATGATATTCATAGTCAGTTTAACACAGATTTAGAGAGATCTATTGAGCCGTTTATAAATAAACAATCATTTATTAATAAATATATGTAACTAAAAATATGATAAATTGAGTACTCTACCAAGACTTGTCAAGAAAAAAAAAATAGGGCACAGAAATGAACTATTCTTACGCAGAATAAATCTTTCTACTGGGATGTATCCTACACAGTCCATGCTGGCCCTGTTGGATGGGGATGAAGTAGTCTTTCTTCTAATTGTATTAATTGTGTAGATGAGGGTATAAAACTGCAACAATGACCATCTATCTTCTGTTTTAGATTAGAAAGGTAGTAGTTGGGCTATGGCAACACTTAGATGAGTAACTTACCAAAAAACGTTATAAGAGTGAAGAAACCTATTGTTTTAATTATTTACTCATGTATTTATTTATGTGTAAAACAATTTCCTGTGTGTTTACTCTAACACTAAGAGCTAAATTCAAAACCCAAAATGCTGCACATTTTGTTGTTGTTACTAAACACAAAAGTGCCAGATGATAGAATTGGGCTGGGTCCAAGAAAAAAAAAGGTAGTAGATTCATTGTTCCAGTATAACTTTCCTGTTTATATTCTTCCCAAACAATGGGCTCACATTTGTTCAATTTCCTGTACAGTTAACAGCTTCCTGCATGTTCCTTTGTTCTTTGTGGAAATAAATGAAAATTCTGACTTCTGTTGCTGGCTCTGACACTCTTTCCTGACTAGTAATAAAAACATGGCTTCAGCTTAGTATCAGATGTCTGTTTCTGTTTTTATTTAGCCAAGGCTATCACTGAAGAATTCCTGTGGGAGAAAGGATCGATGTGTCTGAGAAGTTTCGATCTGATTGAACTCTAGTGCAGCATTTTTTTACTTGGCGGTTTTAGAGCGATAGAAGAGGAAAAGGTTAAGGAATCATCTGCACTTTTTGTTAACTCTTTAAACCCTGAGTTTTTTCCACCACTTCCCAGAGTTTTTTCTACAGTCACCTAAACCTGGTACACTATTTCTCAATATAACCCCAAAAGCTTGCCTCCAATTTCTAAATGGCGGAAACATAGGCTTAGTCATTAGTGAAAAAAACTTGGTTCGAGAATAGTTCCGAAAAACAAGCAAGAGCTGGCACTAAATGAAATGAAACAGTAGTCACTAGTATCGGACGAGTATGGGGTTTAAAGAGTTAAGAAAGTTTTTCTTAAATTTGTCCTAATTGTTTGTGGCCATTTCTTAATTGTTTTTTCCACCACAGATCTTATGGGCTATTCAAGTGAGCTGGTTACAGTGGCTGCTGGTGGTCCTTGGGGCAACGTTATCGGGATCAGTACTGCTCCTCACTTTCTGGCCAGCGGTCAGCGAAGACAACAAAAAGGTGTGTGGATATGATTGTGTGATTTTTCGTTTTTACAGTAATAACCCTTCGTATTGAATTTTAGTTACCACGACACATATTTCTTTGCTTTTCATTAAACAACATCTTTCCAGTTTTATTGTATTTTTGCCAGTTTTATTTATTTTTATTTATTTTTAGTTAGACTAAATATTCCTTTTATGGACTCACCTGTGGTCAGAGTTCCTCATGTCATGGTTATTTATTTTCCTTATTTATTTGACTATATCCTTTTGGATTATTTCCCCACTGTATTAAAGGGGTCTTTCTTTTGGATTTCGTATGTTCTGTATTTGCTGTACAAGATTTTGGAAAGATAAAATTTACCATGTTTTCTTCAATGCTCCTAGCTGGAACTGGGTGCTTAGCACAGAAAGGAACAATGTGGCCGATAGTAATTTGCTTGTCAGGGAAAGAATACTGAATGTCCTTGAAGGGCTGAGTGGAAATGGTACCTTGGAAAAGAATGACTTGTTTATAGAATGATCTGTGAAGTTGCACAGGGTTTTGGGAGGCTTCAGTATTGTATGAAAACATTTTTTTTCTTATATTTTTTTCCTTCTACTACCTTACCTTTTCCCATGATGTTACATACTCATCCATAGCTCGGCTTCTTATACCTTCTGTATGGTCAGTCTTAGTTACTCGTCTGAAAATGTGGCCATGTTGCATGCTTGCAGTTGCACCAGGCAGGTGAAAAAGAAATAAGTAAAGGAAATCAGTCTTCAAAATCAGTTACTTTTTGTGTTTATCCGTGACTGCAATGACCAAGATTTTTCAGTTTTGCTTGATTTTGAAGGCGGATTTCCCATGCTATATGTGAGGCATCGTAATGGAATCAGGCGCTTGTCAAAATAATGAAATCTAAAAAACTGCAATTTTTATTTAATTTTTGTTCCCCTCTCAAAATCTTCTTGTCTATTTAAAAACACATTTCTGTTTGGATTATACTGAACAGCTTTTATTAAAGGCACAAAAAAATATAAATTTTCAAGTCCCAAGGACTCCAGCTATGGAAGTCACCAAGCTTTGGGGGCCACATTCTCGCGGCGACCCTTGCCTCCTTCTATCTTAAATGTCTTGGCTTCCTTTCAAGATAGATGGGTATTTTTTTCATCCAAAGCAAGACAAATGAACAAGTTTAAAGACTGCACCAGTAACTCCATATGCATAAAAATTGAGGAGCGCCTGATTCCACTGCATCGTGTCACCTGTGTTTTTTCCCCCATCATTTGTGAGACGTGCTGACAAAATGAGTTACTTCTCGCAACCATAAATGGAGAGATTGGCGAAAAATCGACACTCGGGTCAAATTTGTAGAATTTCTATTGATGTCAGATTGTTAACTATAACATGCCTTTTATTATTTCATACTTATAAATTGTAAAAACTTCACCTATTAGCGTGATGTATCTATTTCCATCAGGCTTGAATCCGAGAAGTAATTCATTTTTTCAGCACGATTCACATTTGGCATGTGCCTAGTACTAACTGGCCCCGAGGTTTTATGCACCCCGCATAATTTAGCAAAATTTGATCATTTTTTTGCATAATTTCTGATTATTGCCCTTTATCATTCTTTGTTAAAATTAACAGAATCGCATAATTTCACATTTTTGGGCTCAGTTTGCTTAATTTCAAAATTTTTGTTTGCATAAAACTGCGGGGACAGCAGTAGAGTTGAGCGTGGCTGCACCTTGTTCATGATATTGAATGTCCAATGTTCACTCGGAAATGTCAGTTGTCTCTTTTGTTTCCCTCACAGATTGCAATTGGCCTGATGATCTTCATCTTTGTGATGCACGCTGCATTAGCTGCTGGATTTGTGGTAAGTATAAATAGTTTATGTCTTTACATATTGAGTGAGTGCTAATAATCACTTCATCTAGGGAAGTGGATAATGGGAAATTGACGAAGCAACAGTTGTGAATTTAATCCAGATTCAACATTACTTTTTAGACCTGGGAAGAAGACATCGAAAAAAAAATCCCCAACTGGAAAGGAAAATCAAAGCTGAAGTGGCTTAGATTGGAACTGCAAAATGTGTCTAGTGGTAGGTCTTCTTTCTATATTACCATTCATGTCTTGAAATGTGTTGAAAATTCAATTTTTAAAAATCTTTAAGGCCCAGAATTCGAAGTAGTGTGTCAGGCGCAGTTGTTTTTAAATTCCACTGTCAAGAGAAGGATAGGGTTATAAAAGCTTTCTTCACAGTTTGATTGCTGATGGAGCACGAGGACAAGGAAATAGAGGATTTTTGGCGGGACAGGGTAGAGAGATTGGAATGTCACCTTGTTAGGGATTTCGGGAGAAAGGGACAGGGGTTGACGTGTGCTCCTCTTTTAAAGTGGTGTGTGTATTGGGGTTATATACAGTGGAACCTGCCATGACGGCCACCTGTATAATACGGCCACCTGTACAAACAGCTACTTTTTTTCTTTATAATTTAACTGTGTATAACGGTCACATGTCTAACGTGACCTTATCTATCAACCCACGGTCAAATTTACCTGCCTGAGATGGCCCAGCATAGTCACTAATTGCCTGATACTTTGTCATAAATTTTGAATTGGCCCCTGACGCTGTAGATAGCCGTCATAATCCATTCACATGTCGTTATTGTTAGTCCCTCCAATGAATGCTTATATCCAAGTTGACCAATGGGTAACAATAAATTTTCAACTGCTGGTGAGGGAAGTGTGTGATCTGTAACCTATAAGCCCCGCCCACAATCCATACACAAAACGTATGTGAGGTGACTGGTCACTGGTTTGTTTACCTAATCTGTAACAAGGTTACAAAGGACGTTGACGTGAACTTGTGACAGAAGCTTAGCTCGTTCACTGAGTAGTAGCGACCCGTGTGTTTGTTCTACCATGATACTTGGTCTTCATCGTCTTACATATTTCTTTATTTTACCCTTGCAAATAATCAGCAACAAAATATAAAGCTAACCAGAAAACAAACAGACAAGACAACAACTACAACACACCCCCCCCCCCTCCCCCCTGCTTACACCACCCACTCCCGTTTTTCAAAAGAAAACAAAAAACCCTTTTGAATTAATCTTACGGCCGTCCAAGGCCTGAGATTAGCCCCGGTTTGGACCTCAGAGGAGAATGTTTTGCTTTTTTCATTTTGATCAGTCCTGCCTAAGATGGCCGCCTGTGTTTTACGGCCACTTTTCTGCATGACAATGGGTGGCTTTTTTACACAGATTCGACTGTATATATAATATATATGTATGTGTGGGTGTGTGTCCCAAATAGTATCTTACAAAACATAAAGTTAGCCGTGGAGATAAAGGTACATTTGGATCACAAGCCACATGATGCAGGTGACGAATGGGCATTCTATTAAATCTGCTCCTTCTTCTATTTACATGTGTTACTGCTGTCGTAAGCTGTATACTGCATAGTGTAGCCGAAAAACCAACAAGCAGTAAGCTAGGATTACAACCCTAAGGATAAGGCATCCTGGGAATGGGATGAAAGTTAAAGAAATAGTGATTTCTGAAGATGCAGACATTTAAAACAAAAAAAGCATTGCAGCTCTCAGTCAATGGAAGATACTTTTGGCTGTATGTTTTAATTTAATTTTTTTCCTCTTCTTCTGCAGTTTTTGTGTTTACTGGTATCTTAGTCAGAGTCAATGCTTGCTTGAAGTTTTATTTCCCTTTATCCTTTTCCATAGATAAAATTCCTGAGGTTACTTCAACCTACTTCAGTGGAAAAAACCTAAAAAAAGAACCCCCCCCCCCCCCCCGCAAAAAAACAAACAAAAAAAACCTGGCCAGATTTTCTTATCTGTTTTGGTTTGATCACACACCTTTGACGACACAAAAGGAAATATGAATTAAAGGGAAAGGTCAGTCAAGAATATAGTTACTGTAAAGTTCGGTGGCTTAAACAACGATGTGGCTTATTAGTTGATTTTCTTGATTGCAGGAGCGTCACTCCCTTGTCTATTTTTTGGCATACTTCTAAAACATTAAAAAGTTGACATATTTCCTTCAACACGACTCGATTTGTTAAACTCTGACACAGAAGAAGCTTTCAGCAGATTCAGTGCACAGGACGATGATAACACTGACTAAATACATGTGATGTACATAATGTATGATGAATAATCTACTACTTGTGAAAAAAATTCAGATTAAAAAAACATCTTGTGGGTTCAGCTTTAATACAGCTGGGATCAATAGCAGAAACTTTACAGTAAGTCACCATTCAGTCTTTTCGAGAAAAAGCCCAAAAATATGAAAATCGATTCCAAGAGTCATTATTATTTCATTTGAACGAAACAGGGATCTAACAAAGTACATTTTA